ATATATATATATATATATATATATATATTCAGATAAACAGGTTGTTCATCATTCAGAAGAGGGAGTATTCATATCCTTACTTCCTTTGTTCAGTTCAGTTATCATTTCAGTTTCAGTTTCAATAGTTATCATTTCAGTTATCAATTATCAATTCTCAATTATCAGCTCAGTATCAGTTTCAACAATTATAGTTCTTTTATTCAGTTTCTTTACATAGCAGTGCGATTCAAATGTACTGACGTCCCTTTTTCCTAGGGCCTGCATCTCACGATGCAGGTAAAAATTTACAGGTTGATGATTCAGAGTGTTAGATTCTCGTACCAGTTATTTGGTGATCCCCAATTCTTTCAGGGCATTATCATTACCTTACAACCTTCAATATTGTTAGACAGTCAGTGTTTTTAGTACTTCATTAGAGGCTTCATAGACTGGAGTAACTGTTAGACAGAGTCTCAGGCTTTTCATGTTAAGCTATGTTGGCTGCAAATATGTTTCAAAATTGTATTAGTATTTCTGTACTTTGATTTTCTATCAGCATGTGTTAGTTTATCTTCCGCATTCAGTATGTTATGATATCACATGTTGATTCAGCTAGCCAGTTGGTTCACTCGGTCACATGTAGTCAGGCACCAAGTGTCGTGTTACGTCCAGGCCCAAGTTCGGGGCGTGACACAAAGTGATCGAAATAGATACAAAGAAGATTATTGTATCTAGGGATGTTTGCTTCTATGAAGATAAATATCCCTTTACCTTAAACATTTTACCTCCAGATTGTATTTTTCCCATTCCTGCACTTTCAGATACTACCCCTAGCAGCCCTTCTTCAAGTCCTGAGTTGACTGATCCTATCATACTTAGTTCTCCTAGTCCAGCAAAGTTTTCATCACCTCAAATTCCTCATTCTCTTGCACCTAATACTTTTGGAATGACTGATCCTATCATACCTAGTTCTCCTAGTCCAGCCAGGATTTCATCACCTCACATCTCTCATTCTCCTGCATCAAATACTCCTAGACACAGCAATACCCCTACACCAGATCTCAAAAAATCAACTAGAGTTACTATGTGGCCAAGACATCTGAAAGATTTCATCTGCAATAACATATGCCTAACAAAGTTGACTTCCACCTGTTTTACCCAACCTAGTCAACCTAATATCTATTCTTTTGGAGAACTTTCTCAACATAATCAGTAGATGATACAGTCCATTTCAGATGTTTATGAACCTACCAGCTTTTCTCAAGCATCTATGCATCCAGGTTGGCAAAAGTCCATGTCTACATAACTTGAAGCTTTGGAATCAAACCACACTTGGGATGTGGTTCCCTTGCCAAAAGGAAAGAAGGCTTTACCTTGTAAATAGGTTTACAAGGTAAAACACAACTCAAATGGCAGCATTGAGAGACTTAAAGCACGACTGGTTGTTAGGGGGGACATTCAGAGAGAAGGGATAGACTACACTAAGACTTTGTCTCCCGTGGTTAAAATGACTACTATACATTGTTTGCTATCAGTAGCAGTAAATAAAGGTTGGCCAATTTATCAATTGGATGTGAACAATGCATTCTTACATGGGGATTTTTAAGAAGAAGTCTTTAAGAAATTTCCCTCAGGTTTATCCTCTTTTAACCCTAATCATGTGTGTTTGCTTAGAAAATCTTTATATGGTTTAAAGCAAGCATCCCTCCAGTGGTATGCTCGGCTTGTAGGGGCTTTGAGTTTCAAAGGACATTCATTTTCACTCAACGGTTATTCCTTATTTTTTAAGAAGTAGGGTGATCTAATTTGTATTGTCGTAGTTTATGTGGAGGACATCATTATTAGTGGCAACAATCAGGAGGAAATCACAGCACTAAAAAATTTTCTTAATTCTAAGTTCAACAAAGATTTAGGACATTAACATTATTTCCTAGGTATGGAAATTCTAAGGGAAGCACGGGACATAATAATTTGTACCTTGGATTTGCTGAAGGAGTTTGATGTTTCTGTATTTCCTTGTGTTTCTTCACCTCTCGAGTCATCCTCCAAGTTATATGCAGATGAAGGGCCTTTGATTCAAGATCCTACTATCTACAGACATCGTGTTGGGAAGCTGAATTATCTTATCCACACTCGACCCGATCTATCTTTTGTTGTTTTGAAGCTGATTCAATATATACAAAGTCCCCGACTTTCACATTTCTCGGCAGCACTTCGTGTGTTGCGTTACTTACGATCAGATCCATGTCAGGGGATCATCTTAAACACAAATCCTACACTCGATCTGCTTGCCTTTTGTGACGCAGATTGGGCTTCATGCCTAGAGACTCGGAGATTTGTGAGTGATTTCTATATCACTCTTGGAGGTTCACTGATTTATTGGAATCGAAGAAACAAACCTCTGTATCTTTGTCTTCCGCTAAGGCGGAATATCGCTCATGCGTGGAGGAGTTACTGAACTGACTTGGCTCACTCATCTTCTGAGCGACATCTCTGTTTCACTATCTTTACCGGTACCTATTCTCTCTGACAGCAAAGCAGTGATTCACATCGCTCGAAACCCCCTTTTTTCATGAGAGAACGAAACATGTGGAATTGGATTGCCACTTTGTTCGGAAACAGTTCCTTTCTGGGCTGATTACTCTCTCATATGTACCTTCATTGACTCAACTTGCAGATCTCTTTACCAAATCACTATCAGGACCTTCACACAAATTTCTACTCGCCAAGTTGGGAGTAACTTCATTGCCCTCCAACTTAAGGGGGGGTTGTTGAGAAGACACCCCATGATTCAATTTGTTCAAGAGAAGAAATACAGAGTCTAGGTGAAGAAGGAAAGACATCGAAGTCATATATAGGGTTTCAAACAAAACAATCCAACTTTTCGGAGTTATCTAAGTCAAGAGATGTATGTACACATTTGACTTTGGCACGTGGTTCGATCTCAGCCCTTGAACGAGTTTCTGATGGATTAAATAAGAACCCTCCATATTATCAGATAAATAGTTGTACCACATTGGATTCCAATATTCTGAAATGTGTGGATGAGATAGGAAAGAATAAAATTTAGTTAGTTTGTTATTTCATAGCAAATAGAATTTAGACAGTTGTATAAGATTTAATTATTCTTTTTGTTTTTTACATAGCTCAATATTGTATAAATACATTGTCTTGTACAGAAATTAAGACACAAAAAATTCTACAAGTTTCTCATTTTACAATCCATTAATAGTTCGTTCGAAGATCCCACCATGTTGAGAGAAGATGTCGTCTGACATAATCTCAGAAAATATAAAATTATATTAAATCCATATTCACACTAAGTACGATGTGGAGTTAAAGGTCTCTTCTATTCCCTCAAAAAGAACCGGGATCTTTAAACATATAGCCAGTCGTATTCATTGTTTACTTTTACTAGTCGATATACATAGATTATACGATAAATATAAATAGATATATATATATATATATATATATATATATATATA